AGAAACTTTCATTAGTTTTCCATAGTGGTTGCACAGACTTACATTCCTAGCAATGAGACTGAAAGATTCTCTTTTCTTCATATCCTTTTGTTATCTTTCATCTTTGTTTTTTGTTTGTAAAATCAAAGTTTCTTAAAATAATGTACACAATTAGAATACGGAAAGTGTCTAACTGGCTTTTGTGCCAATATAATACTGACTCTGAATTAGTTTTAACTTCTTCTAAGATGTGTAAACTGGCCTCTGTATCATGTGACATTCAAATGAATAATTTACAGAATCCACTGGACTTCTAGAAATGGATGTGCAGTTTCCACTGGCCCTGCATCTCTAACATGACTCCCATGATTTTCTTGCTCCACCAGATGTTCATGGCATGAAAAATGTGGGCATTAATCTTAACTCTCACCCTAACCCTAACCTCTAAACACCCTAACCCTCGCCCTGATTCCTAACCATGCTGGCCCCTATCCCTAACCTCAACTGAATCCCCAGGCAAACACCATCCTGAACCCAAACCCTAACTCATTTCCTCTGACCTTGTCCTGATCCCTTTGACCTTTCAAGTAGGCAAGATGTGTCTGGTGTTAGGAAGGTCATTTAACTCTCCACTGCTTGGGAGAGCTTGGGGACAAGAGGCAAATCCCTCTGCCCTCCTCTAACCTTCCAGTCTCTACCTGAGCTCCCTCTGGCATAACCTGCCTGGAAGCAAGCTGGCAAGGAACACAGTGGGCAGAGTTCCAAGCTCAGCAGACCAGAGTGGGTGTGGCTGACACCCGGCTCCATCTATCCCAGGCCTCACACACACTACTCCCCAATTCAGTCACATCATGGCTTTGGTCCAGATGGGAAAAGTCATGCCATTCTGGAGTACTGCCACAAAGACAACAAAGGACCCTATGCTTCATTTTTCAAACTGGAAATTGCTTATTGTAGTGCTTACAAAAGTACAAATGCTTGCCATTTTAATAATTCAGAAAATTAGAAGTTTAGAAAGTGAGAGGATCTAGCACATCTCATCACAGACACTCCATATCATAGGAGGTCTTTTATGGATTCCTGCCCAGCCTCTATAGTCCATTCTAGGGGAGAGTAGAGCCCTGCCTCCTTTGTTCTTTTTTTGGAGCATGCAGAGCAATCACATCAGTGGAGCTCAGTCAGCTGGTGGGCGCTGAGTTTGGGTTCAGCCCTCCTTGCTGGGTGCAGGAGGAAGACCTCAGCCATTGGTGGTTTGTTTCCAGGCAAAACCAGAGTGAACTCTTGGGTTCACTTTTTAATTTTTTTTTATTAATCAATATTTTTTATTATGGTTTTGTGGGGTACAGTTAAGGGTTAGGTGTACAATTACGTTTCATTCAGGGGTTGATAAGAGGTGTTTTCCCATCCCCAGACAGATATTTGCTACTGTTAATCCCATCCCCCTACCCCCCCTTTTTTTTTTTGAGTTGGAGTCTCATTCTGTCGCCTAGACTGGAGTGCAGTGGCCGCTCCTGGCCACTGCAGCCTCTACCTGCTGGACCCCAGCGATCCTTCTGCCTCAGCCTTCCGAGTAACTGGAACTACAGGCGCGCGCTACCACGCCCGACTAATTTTTGATTTTTGATTGTAGAGATGAGGTCTCACCAAGTTGCCCAGGTGGGTCTCGAACCCGCAGGCTCAGGCAATCCACTCACTTCAGCCTCCCAAAGCGCGGGATTACAGGCTGAGCCACCGAGCCCGGCTATCTTTCACCCTTTAAAATAATTATTTTATGATTTTCTTTGCTGTGCAGAAGGGCTTCGTTTTGATTATAATCTCATTTGTCTATTTTTGCTTTTGTTGTCTGTGCTTGTGTGGTCAGATATTAAAAAATACATCTTCCTGAGGATCACTGGGTCTAATGTAATTGGATGTATAAATCTCTTGCTATACTTGAGAAGTATTCATAAATTATTTCTTTAAATAGTTTTTCTAAACTTTTTAGTTTTTCTTTTCAGGAATACTGATAATTCATAAATTTGATTGAATTATGTAGTTCTAAACATCTTGAAGATTTTATTTTTTCATTCTTTTTTTCTTTATTTTAGTCTGACTGGATTTTTTCAAAAGGTTTGTTTTCAAGTTCTGAGATTCTTGGTTTGACGTAATCTGTTGTTGAAGCTTTCAAATGTATTTTGTGCGTCCTTCAATGAATTTTTCATTTCTGCTTTTTAAAAGATGTCTGTGTCTTTGGCACATTTCTTATTAATATCTTGAATTGATTTTCTGATGTTTTTGTATTGGTATTCAATTATATTATGCGTCTTATTGAGCTTCCAGAAAATCAACATTTTGACTCTTTATTTGGCATTTTGAGGATTTTGGGGGGGAACAGATTTGTTGCCAGAAAATTATTATGTTTTTTTGAGGATGCTATATTTCCCTGCTTTCTTTTTTTTTTAATTTTAAAGATACATTTCAGGGTTAGGGGATTAGGTATACAAGTGTTCATTATGCAGGTACCCTTGTTGATAAGGTGTGCGCCTCCTTTCCCCACTTTCTTATCTTTATGTTGATTTCTGTGCATTTGGAGCAACAGACGCTTCTTCTTATTTTTGAATATACTTTTTTGGGGATAGGCTTTTTTTTTCTTGTTTTCTTGAAGATGAGACTATAATGTGGTTAAATGGGGTTGTTTGGTTTTGCTTCTGGGTGTGTGCAGTGGCTAAGACTGTATAATTTTTATCTGTGTGTTTCTCTGTATATGGGGGTGCAGTTTTGGCAGGGACTGTGGTGAAGTGGTGCCAGGGACTAGAATGCCTGATGGGCTCTGCCTCAAATTTCAGTGATAGTGATGGGAGGCTAATCATGTCTATCCTTGTGACCTTGGGCAGTGTATGCTGGCACCTGTACTGACAGTTTTGTCAGGCAGATTTTTGAGTTCCTGGGTAGTCTTCTCAGATGCTGGTTGCAGCGGCAGTTTTACCATGTGGGTGAGCAGGCTCTTGATCTTCTGGAAAACCAGTGGCAGGACGATGATGGTCACTAACAGTGGTTAGGAAATGTTCTTCTACTTTCAGAGCACTGTGTTCTTGTGCTAGCAATTGTTGCAATGGACTGGGCGAGCCGGCCCCCAGGCCAGTAGGTGACACAAGCAGGTTAAAGTCAGCTGCAGTGGTGGAATGCTCAATCTCTGTTCCCCGAGAGATGCGTGGGTGTTTCAGGTGGTGGAGTGGGGTGTGGAGCACTCCAGAAGCCTGGAGCCCAGCCTCTGTCTCAGAGGAAGGGCAAAGTTGGGCAGAGCTGGACCGGGCAGTCTTGCATTCAGGCCCCTCAATGGCAGGTGCGTGAGGCAACCTTGACAAGGGGACAGGGCAGTTCTCAGGCCCCTGTGAAATGCTTGGGAGACAGGCAACTGTTACTACAGTGAAGTCTTAGCATAGGGAGGGCAGGGCAGTTGCAGTGGCCACAGCTTTAGCCAACAGGAATGGGGGAATTATGTCCCTCTCCTGCCCCAGCCAAGACATGAGGAGGAAGAGAGTGTGGCTGTGGTGGCTAGCCCTGTCTTCCAGAAAGCTCCAGCAGTCTGTGACTAGTCTTCAGCTCAGCCCTGGGCCACAGGAGGTGTCGCTTGGTTTAAGATCAAGCCTCCGCTGGGCTGGGTGGCTCAGCCTGTAATCCCCTGCCTTTGGGAGGCTGAGGTGAGTGGATTGCCTGAGCCCGCGGGTTCGAGACCCACCTGGGTAACTTGGCGAGACCTCATCTCCACAACAAATCAAAATGAGCCGGGTGTGGTAGCGTGCCTGTAGTTCCAGCTACTTGGAAGGCTGAGGCAGAAGGATCGCCGGAGTCCAGCAGGTTAAGGCTGCGGTGGCCGGAAGCGGCCACGGCACTCCAGTCTGGGCGACACAGAGAGACTCCAACTCAAAAAAAAAAAAAAGATAAAGCCTCTGCAGCAACTCCCTTCCTCCTCATGTCCTGGGGTTGGGTGGGGTGTGTGGTGCCAGCTCCAGCCGCTAGAGCCTCCTCCACACTCACTTGTGAGAACTGGTCATGGGAGCGTCTCCCCTGGGGTAGCCTTGTTTTGCAAGAACCTCCCAAGTTTCCCCAGTGGCCAGGACTGACGCCGTTGTTTCTCAGGACAGCACACAGTCTGCTAGTTAGGATCAAGGATTATGCATCACCTGGGCAACATAGCAACCCCTCCTAGCGACAAAAAAATTAGCTGGGCGTGGTGGCGTATGCCTGTAGTCCCAGCTACTTAGGAGGCTGAGGTGAAAGGATCACCTGAGCCCAGGAAGGTGAGGCTGTGGTGAGCAGTGATCGTGCCATTGTACTCCAGCCTGGGTGACCGTGAACCACCGAGTCCGGCTGAGATACAATACCTCCCCTCACCTTTAATTTTCTTAGTCCCCCCAGAAGTGGAGTTATCTGATGGTGAATTTGCCAAGAACTAACTGAACATGCTGAGTTTCCAGTTCTTCAGTTCTCCAGCTCTTCCTGGTGAGCCTACTTGTAGAAAGGTTTTTTCTCTTCTGCCTTTCTAAGGGCAGGATGCAGTGGAAGGGAGACCTGCCACAGTTCAGGGTTGGAATGACTGGGACTGTTTGTCTCAGGTAAAGTGTCAGCGCGGCCACACAACCAATAGACTTGAACTCACGTTCTCCAGGTGCATCTCTATGCGTGATGAAAACGATACTTGTTCGGAAGCAGATGAGGAAGCAAATTGATATTCCACCTCAAATAACCAATTATTACCAACTGCTATTTCATACTTAAAATTCTTATCTTTATCTTTTTTTCTTAGAAACTCATAATTTGTGTACATATCTTTAGGGAATGAGACTCTCTATTATTTGGTTTATTGCTGCAGTTCTTAAGAGGCTTGCGTGCGCATCAAGAAGAAATGCCCCAGGGATCACATGTGGAATTAGGACAGCATTTATTTCCAGTTGAGGAAGAAGGATAAGTTGAGATAAACAGGAGTCTGCAAAACATATCCATCCGTTCTGGAGTTCAAAGGGTTAGCAATTTGCTCCCGTCTAAGGAGATTTTCCTTTGGGAATTGGCGTTGGATAGGGCTCAAATATCCACCACTTCCTGCAACATTTCTTTTCATCATTACACACACCAATATCGGTCTCTATGCTGGTGCACCCTTTGTCTTTACACACCCCTTTCAGATTAACACACTGCTTTAGCCCTGGAATAACACCAGCTTTTCCTGCATAGGGAGAGATTCGACAACAGCATTAGTTCACCATCAATTTACTGGCAATGTACTTACAGCAATAAACTCTTAGATGAATGGCTTTGTGATAGAGAGATGATATTATCTGTATGAAAGGATCAGACACTTTTTCTTTCTTTCTTGCGTTTTTTAGAACCAGACTCAGATAAAAATGGTAACTTTTTTTAGGGAAGGCAACTAAGAGTGTGGACTATATACACCTTGGAGAAAACAGGCCAATTTCTAAAAGTCTTTAGAGAGATTGTTCTCTGCTAGCGCAGTACATCTTGAAATGTGTGAGACTGTTTGTTGTGGCCATCACATCTGGAGAAGGTGTCTTTGATGTTTAGTGTGTAAAGCACAGAATTACTAAATTTCCCCTCGAATGAACTGTCCTACACTAAGCATCAACAATGCCCCTACTAACAAGCACTGTTTCAAAGGGAGTATCCATCCTTCCACTGACTGATCTGCCCTTACACCGTCCTTATCATATGGTCCATGTGCCCATCTTCATCTCCTTTTTAGGGAAAAGTCCTTCCGTCCTTCAGACATCATCTTAACTAATTTCTCCATTTCAGGACTAGGTAAGAAATACCTCTCTTATGTTGCTCAATACCCCTTATACATAGACACAAGAGCCGAAAGTTTCTCTGAAGCGTGTCTTAATGCTTTTGGCCACTGTGAAACACACAGCGAAGTGTGTGCTCCAATACAGTAGGTTCCTTTGTGTTCACTATCATCCCTCTTGCCTTCTGAGAAAAACTAGTGTTCATTCTCCTCATTGTGGATTGCAGTGGACATTATATGAGGGACACTTCTGCTTATGTCTACCAATAAAACTCAGTTTCTCGACCTTCCTATTAACCCACCAGCACCTCATTTTGTTTTTACTGTCTTGTCATATATTCACCCTGTATGGCTTCTTTAGCCTGCCTTCTACAGCTTGACTAACAGCTTGATGGCCTTTTTTGACTCTGAATCTTTTTGCTGTTACTGTGATGTATTTAAACTCAGTATTGTTTCTCTACTCTGTAGAAAAACATCCATAGCGAGATAAGCCAATGCAGCCTTTTGGAAAGGAGTGCTTGCAATTCAGAGTCTCTGTGCATCAAGAGTATGGCATGAAGCGGGAGTTGAGTTAGGTCTTGTAACACTGCCTCTGGTTTCCTAAAACTAATCTGGAAGAGAAAGGGGCTGGCTTGAGACCTGAAGTCTTCACTGCACTTCTACACAGAGCGCAGACTTCACGCTCAGTAGAGTGGCAGTCCTGTTGCCAGTTGCTGGTCTTTCCCCTGTTAACTTCATCCATGCAATCATGCAATTAGTGTAACATCTGGTATGGTTGTCAGGTTTTTCTTTTTTCTTTTTTTAGTCAGGATCTTTCTCTGTCACCCAGGTTGGATTGCAGTGGCATGATCATGGCTCATCACAGCCTCGACTTCCTGGGCTCAGACAACTGTTCCAAGTAGCTGGGACTATAGGTGTGCATCACCACCCCCAGGAAATTTTTTGGTTTTATTATTACTATTATTATTTTTGTAGAGGTGAGATCTTGCTATGCTGCCTAGGCTGGTCTTGAACTCCTGGGCTCAGGCAATCCTCCCGTCTCTGCTTCCCAAAATGCTGGGATTACAGGCATCAACCATTGTGCCTGGCAAGTTTTTCAGGTTTTTTAATGAAGCTAATTTCAGAGCTTATTAGTACTGGAAAAAACACAGTGAGAGGCAGAGTATGGTATCAAGAAGGCCTCTATGTATGAACTTAGAGGTATCTCATGCAGAATGAAGTGGAATGTGTGCTTTCAGTTGCAGCCGAGAGAGCTAACCTCTTCCCTGCAGGATATACACTCATTACCCACTGTATTGTAAAATTCAGCCTCCTGAAACAGCCCATATCCTAGGATTGTACTATTTTTACTTGGGAGAAACCTCTTGCTTCAATCAAAAGGAGTGGAAAAATTGATCCCAACCATTACATGAGAAGCTTAATTTAAGGAAGTATTCTCTGAACAGGGAACCAAAGAGTTATAATCTCCCTTTCATCAGTAACTATGACATACCTTCATGCCTAGGACACTAGTTAAGAAGTTGGGAAAATAATCTTTTTAAGTTACCTAGCTCATGAGGAAGGGAATTTCTTTCTAGATATTGACATAGATGTATTGGCATAAGGAGATACATATAGAACAAGAGAAGAGAATGGCCCTTTAATATACTTCCAATTTTATCTGCTTTTAATCTGTTATAAGCGTCATACTCCATGGCAGTTAGACAAAAAAATACATATTTAGCAATTGCTTTTGGAAAAATAAATAATTTAGACGATCACTTCATGTTATATCACAGCATTAATTTCTGTGAATGAAGTGAGAAGAACTTAGGATCACACTTAAAAATGACTATTTAATGGCACGTTTTCTAATCTCTAAAAAGATATGACCTTCTTAGCATTAAAACTCATTGAATTAGTAACTTTTTAATTTTCTGGTTGTGGTGGTACATGGGATTTGGGAAGAACAGGCTTTTCCTGGAACGGTATAAGTCAAAAAACAGAAGAGCGGTTTTCTTTTCTCTACATAATGTGGAGTTCAAGCTGTCTTCTGCTGCTGTCCAGTGTGGTCTATTTAAATATGATGTTATTCTCTAAAGTTGGTGTAAGAAGGATGCTACAATTTTCTGAATTCTCAGGAGCTAATGAATCAACTGGACATTTATGCCATTCTAACCTCCTTGGGTCCATATTCTCAGCATATATATGTTTGTGTGTATATATAAATGTATATGAACTTTCCCAACCTTTTCTAAAACACCATGGATTTTTTTGAAAAATATAAGGATATGGGAAGACATATATCCAAGTAGTAATCATTTAATATTCTTTAAAGTCTGGGTTGATAAACTAATATTTCAGATTATGTTGTTTCTTTGATGAAATTTTCTTTATAAAAACAATTTCTTTTTACCTATTGGATTTTTTGGGGTAAATGTCTTTAACAAAACTCTTTATGATACAGCCACTCAAGTTTCTCAAAAGAAATTTTGTGAAATAAAAGATATATTGCATTTATAAAGTTTTTAAGATTATTAGAGTAATTTCAGACAACTGATAGATATCATATCCGCAATGGTCATAGCAGGAATTAAAATTAGAATTTTGAGGAACATACTATTATTAAATTCCACAGACAGCTTGGCAATTACCTGTCTGTACTAAGAGACAACACATAGCTGATAACAAAAAAATTCCTCTTCTTTGACCCAAAAGTGTTCTAGGCTCCGCTTCATAATGTATTCAAGAATACCTCAGTATGTACAAGCAAAGTATTTTTGACCTTTTCATGTGGTTTTAACATTCTTTGATCACAAGAGACCTGGCCATTTGAAAGTGATTCTCTCTTGTTTAACCCATCCTGGTATAAATGACTCGGAGGGAACAAAGGAGGGTTTTTCTTGTCTGTCCTGGAAGAAGATGTCATGACTTGAAAGGCATTCTAAAGAATTCTTGTCGCCGGGCTCGGTGGCTCAGCCTGTAATCCCGCGCCTTTGGGAGGCTGAGGTGTGTGGACTGCCTGAGCCCTGGGTTCGAGACCTGCCTGGGCAACTTAGTGAGACCTCATCTCTACAATAAATCAAAAAATTAGCCGGGCGTGGTAGTGTGCGCCTGTAGTTCCAGCTACTTGGAAGGCTGAGGCAGAAGGATCGCCGGAGCCCAGCACGTCAAGGCTGCGGTGGCCGGGAGCGGCCACTGCACTCCAGTCTGGGCGACAGAGTGAGACTCCAACTCAAAAAAAAAAAAAAATTCTTGTCACGCTTGTTTGCAGAATAACTCTGCTTCACCCTTTATTTTATTGTGGTAATCACACTTAACATGAGATCGATCTTCTTAACAAATTATTGTGCTGTAGACACAATGTTGTACAGTTGATCTTTACAACTACTTATCTTGGACAACTGAAAACTTATACCCGTCGAACAGAAACTCCCCATGTTCTTCTTCCCCTCAGCTCCTGGCAATAACCATTCTACATGGTGTGTTTCCATGAGTATGACTGTTTTTGGTACCTCATATAAGGGGATTCATGCAGTATTTGTGACTGGCTTTCCTCTCTTAGCATAATGTCCTCCAGGGTCATCTATTATAAATTAGGAGATTTTGAGCAGAAAAGTCTGACAGAAATCAAGGTTATCATTTTTATGTGCATATCCACACCTGTGAACTGACAACATGGACCATATTGAAGATACTTGGTTCTAGCTACAGTGTTGCTACTACCTGTATGGTCTTAGTAAAATCATATTCGTTAAATGGACATGGGTTCTACTATCTAAAATTAAATAATTGGCCATTAAATTGCTTTACAATTTGAAATAGTTAACATCATATAATTTTACGTTAGATGTCATTACAAGTATTTTTCACCTCAGCTGTGTCTTCTGACTGAAGGTGAGAACCAGATGAGAATTACATAAACGCCTTCAGAAGGAGACAACCACATGACAGATTGATCCCAAGATGTCATAGGTTAGGCAAAGATCAAACAATTGAGTCACCTTGATTTGTATCTAAAAGAATCTCAGAGATGAACCAAGGAAGAGATTTTTGTTCAACGACTACAGATGTTGTTGTGAAGAATAGGAGCATCCTGCCATTGATGGTGGAGAAAGTAATTTTGTCAGATCTTGCCATGATCTGGATGAAACATCCTGAAGATTACTATACTTTTTTCCACTTTGATTCCTTATTTTAATATTCAAATGTCTGAATCCTGGACCCTAAGGATGCGACTAAGAGTCTTAAAATGCTTCCTACCTTATTTGCCTTATGCTTAAAATTTTGCCATTGAAGTTTCACGGACTGTTTCTACTTTTTCCAAATCCTCCAACTCGCAGATTTCTATTGGTCTTTTTACAGCTTTATGCAACCTTTCTTGTTGAGCTCTCTCTTATTTACTTAAATTCTACCCTTTAACAAATATTCCTCACCAATATACT